GAGGAAATGGTAAGGGAGAAGGTGGAAGAGGAAATGGTAGAGGAGGAGGTGGAAGAGAAATGGTAAGGGAGAAGGTGGAAGAGGAAATGGTAGAGGAGGAGGTGGAAGAGGAAATGGTAAGGGAGAAGGTGGAAGAGGAAATGGTAGAGGAGAAGGTGGAGGAGGAAATGGTAAGGGAGAAGGTCGAAGAGGTAATGGTAGAGGAGAAGGTGGAAGAGGTAGAAGTGGAAGAGAAGAACGTGGAAGAGGAAGTGGTAGAGGAGGAAATGGTAAGGGAGAAGGTGGAAGAGGAAATGGTAAGGGAGAAGGTGGAAGAGGAAATGGTAGAGGAGAAGGTGGATGTGGAAATGGTAGAGGAGAAGGAGGAAGGGGAGAAGTGGAAGAGGAAATGGTAAGGGAGAAGGTGGAGGAGGAAATGGTAGAGGAGAAGGTGGAAGAGAAGAACGTGGAAGAGGAAGTGGTAGAGGAGGATTCTGGGAGGTCACATGACATCACTCTGATCTCTATTCATAACACACAGACCTGACCGGAGGGGTGAGGAGGATTCTGGGAGGTCACATGACATCACTCTGATCTCTATTCACAAAACACAGACCTGACCGGAGGGGTGAGGAGGATTCTGGGAGGTCACATGACGCCACTCTGATCTCTATTCATAACACACAGACCTGACCGGAGAGGTGAGGGGGATTCTGGGAGGTCACATGACTATTTCTATTTTGATAGATTGAGGAGTGGGAGTATCTAGAAGGACACCGGGATCTCTACAAGGACGTGGTGATGGAGAATGCCCCGCCCCTCACATCACCGGGTAAGAGGAGAGCTTTGTGGTAATTGCCGGACCGGCATACTGACCGCAGGAAGTGGAAGCCGTATTATCTTCTCTTTTCCTCCCCAGGAGATGTTCAGAGCGCCTCGGAGATCGTTTTGTCTCCAGATAATAATGTCGGAGAAAAACGCACCTGGAATGGAAACAGACTTTGTAGACTAGGCCGTAGAGACAGACCAGTGGCCAAAAAAATCCATCCGAGACTCCACAGTACGGACGGATCCCGCAACCTCCCGAATCCCGAGAGATCTTCTGCCGGTTCTGATATCGGCGCACAGGAGGACAAGTCACTTGCCAACTCTGGGTTCAGTGAAACACCTAAGCCATCTATTAAGACAAATAGACTTGAGCCTCTGAATACGTGCTCAGAGTGCGGGAAAGGCTTCAGCCGAAAGAGAGACCTTATCGCACATCGGAGAAGTCACACGTGTTCAGAGTGCGGGAAAAGTTTTACTCAGAAGGCATACCTTCTAAAACACCAGCGATGTCATACGAGTGAACGTCCGTTTTCCTGTCCGGTGTGCAGGAAAAGTTTCACTCTGAAAAAGTATCTTATTGCGCACCAGAAAAATCACACAGGTGAACGTCCTTTTTCGTGTTTAGAGTGTGGGAAAAGTTTCACGCAGAAAAGGCCGCTTCTGATACACCAGAAAATTCACAAAGGCGAGCTTCCGTTTTTATGTTCAGAGTGCGGAAAGTGTTTCACCTCGAAAGGAAGCCTTCTGACACATCAGAGGTGTCACACAGGCGAGCGCCCTTTTTCATGTTCAGAGTGCGTGAAGAGTTTCATTCAGAAAGTAGACCTTATTGCACACCAGAGAAGTCACACAGGTGAGCGTCCTTTTGCCTGCGGAGAGTGCGGGAAAAGTTTAACTCAGAAAAGACTTCTTTTTATGCACCAGAGAAGTCACACGGGGGAGCGTCCTTTTTCATGTCCAGAGTGCGGGAAAAGTTTCTCTCAGAGGGGCGGTCAGGGATTGACACCCCCCTTATCCATTTAAAGGGACAGTGCCCATGCTCCCACAACTGCTGCAGACCGAACGGTTCATGCACTGGCTGCATTTCTCAACAACGGATGCCTACTCGGCCCACTAATCACACCACAGGGGGTTCTCTTCCTGGGCCATTCTTGCTGTAGATGGGGTAGGCAGACTTCAGTTCCGCTTCATTGAATTCTTCAACCAATCAGAACGTATTGATTCCTTCGGTGTTTTATGGTTTTTCGTTACATCACGTTCTTGACCTGTTTTTCCAAATGTTGTCTACGAAAGCCCCGTTTAGGTGAAACGCGTCAGCTGAGGAAGGGTGAGGTTGACCGTCCTTCTGTAATAAACAAACAATAAAGTTTTATCAAGGCGGTCTGTTCCGATGTTAATTATCCCCCCCCGATTGTCAATAGTCCGGGGGCACAGAAATATATATGTGAGTGGATCTGGGATTGAAATCACGAGGTTTATAGGCCCAGGTACAAATTTTAGGATTTTTTTTTTTTTTAAGCAATGAATGTATTAGATTTTGCCAATAGAACCAGAATAATAACAACATTACCCAACACAAATACAGACATAAAGAAAACAAAATCCTGCTATAGATACCCTGTTTCCCCGAAAATAAGACCTACCCCAAAATAACACCTACCCCGAAAATAAGACCTACCCCGAAAATAAGACCTACCCCAAAAATAAGACCTTCCCCAAAAATAAAACCTACCCCAAAAATAAGACCTACCCCGAAAATAAGACCTACCCCAAAAATAAGACCTACCCCAAAAATAACACCTACCCCAAAAATAACACCTACCCCGAAAATAAGACCTACCCCAAAAATAAGACCTAGTTGTGACCATTCCCGGGGCCGGTGGCGGCATAAGGGGGGAACCTGAAGAGCCGCGGGAGAGAACCAGCGGTGCCAACGAAGCCGGCGCTAGAGGAAGCGAGGCGGCAGCGGGGGGAGCAGAGCCGCATAAGCCGACGCCTCCTCTATAGCCCCGCCTCCTGTCACAGGCGGAGTGATACCAAATGCGCCCCGCCTGCGTGGAATCCATAGTGAAAGCGCGCTTCGCTCATCCTGGCCAGCGATTGGTCACCAAATTGCTCTCGGAAAGGTACGGCGCCCCCCTGATCGCCCTATTTTTGTACATTAAAAAGAAAAATAAGACCTGGCGTGTTTTTTTGAGGCCCAAAAAAAATATAAGACAGTGTCTTATTTTCGGGGGAAACGCGGTACATAAGTACTAGGCCAAGGTAACTTGGCCGTGTTTGTGGGAGGAGTTGCGGCGGCTCTCCTCCCCTTAAGAAGGGGGGACAGGGAGCTCCTAGAGACGTCACGGCGATGTCGCGCTTGACCCGCGCCCGCCCTTCCCCAGGTTCTATCATCTCACTAGAGCGCGCCCCCTTATTTGGCAACGCTGACCACAACATCATGGCGCACACCAGGTTGGGATCAGTAGGGGGTCATGAAGACTTCGGAAGCCTGAGTATTCCAAGTCCTTCACTGAACAGTTGTACGAAGAAAGTCAACACCAAGGCCCCATTCGCACCGAGCGACGTGAAAATCGCGCGACTTTGAGCGATATCGCGCGATATCCAGCGACGTGTCGCGCGACTTCTTCCTATCGGGCTGTATGCAATCGTGGAGCAACATCGCTCGAAAAAAGGGTCGTGTACCAGCGACGAGCTACCGGCCATATCGAGCAGACGAGATGTGAACAGCTCCATTTAAATGGATTGGAGAAGCTACGTAGAGCGATTTACCGCGCGGAAATATGAGCGACAACGCTGCAAAAATCGCGGGCGGGCGTGCCGGGCGGGAGGGACCGGCGGCTAGCGCTCTGATGCAGTCCAGGGAGCCGTTCTGGGTGCTCTGTCACTTCGTGGTCAGGATGATGAAGAGCCGCCCGGCTCAGTAATGATTTGGTGGGCGAGGGAGCAGGTGGGGGCGTGCGTGCG